GTGAGTTAGTGAAAATTTGATATTGTCGTGTTCATAGTTTGAATGTGAATAGGGGAGTAACTAGACGACATTAGTGATTATTTTCATCGTTGTTGTGTTGAGTGTCGACTTCACTAGTTTCAGTAATATTCTACAGAATGAATGTGGAAGTTGGGTGTCCATGAGCAGTTTGTGGATTTTACTATGTTCTTTACTCTTAGCTTCACTGCGTCGTATTGATTATTTGCTGTCAGTTCTCTTGTAAATATCTTTTGGATAAATCCTGTGTTGCACTGTGATTCGATTAGGTTTGTGTGCACATTTTATCTGTCATTGGGGTTCATGGTCACATGAAGGTATTTGCATCAACATTCAGGTCTTGCACTTACTACTACCTAAAACAGGATGTCAAGAATAGATCGAGAATATCTGATGTTCTTTGTACAACAAGTAATCCTCATAACTCAATAGCTGTTATGGTTTCCGGCCGTCAAAGGAATTACCAATGCAAATGAATGACGCTACAGTCGGGTGATGAATCTCACCAGTGCACTGCACACTATTTAATTATAATTTGACAAGGCCAAATAGTATTCCGAACATAAGCAACATCTCAAATAGTATGTTTTTGTGTTTCTCTTCTGCTTTCATTCGTTTCAGTACTCAATATATATATATATATATATATATATATATTCATTAACCATCCATAGAGTCTTCTTTACAAATCAGTCAATTTGATTTAGATACCAGGTATATACTTGTAGCAGTAACTGCTTGTTTGTAGTGAAATTGACGTACTGACGAATGGGGTTTTTTAGACACGAAGATTATACTTTTCTTCGTAGGAGTCAAATGCAAAGCTAGTCATGTAATACTTCAATTCCTGCCGAGTTCATTTTAAGCTGTAATTACAACTTATGAATTATTGTAATATGTTGTTCACGACAAAAGAAGCTGCATGACGAGAATCTATGATGGGTGAAGCCGCAAGCCAGTGAAATTCTGATAGACGTACCAACTGAATAATGAAGCAGAACCAAAGGCTTGCACTTCATCGCCTATTATTTATCGCCATATGCCTTAAAAGCCACTGATCTCATTCAAGTTGACTTACTTGGCTCCATTTTTTTTATTAATTATGCATATAGGCAATCTTATTTTTCTTACACAATTTAAATTTGTTTGGTCTAAGATTCCCAAAGCAGATTACTTGCTTCATCTCCTGTAGTCCACTGATTACCTGAAATGATATGTATGAACACTAAATAAGGCTGACGTTTGTATGCCAAGTGATCCAACCCCTGCATGCCTGACTCCTCCAACATTTTTGTCCTCCTTAAATAGTATCGTGTAGCAACATTCTAATTTTCTTTTTTTATTCCTTCACGTGCCTAGTGGAACATAGGGCTTCAAGCTAGAGTTTTGAAGTTTCGGTAGCGGTGACTTTATTTTTTAAGGGGTGGGTTTGCTAGACTAACGTCCAACCTTCCCTATTTACCGGCATTTTAACCGGCTTACCGAGGTTCAAGAGTGAGTCGGCTGGGAACCCACCAGGTGGTTGGCTGACGGGAATTCTACCCCTGAATTGCCAGAGCGCAGCATCCTACGATTAAGATTGATTAATTACTAGGTAATTTGTCTTCTTAATTTTTAAGCGTTCGCATTATTCCTTCATTGTAAGTTATGAATGAGATGCTAGCATAACCTATCACTCACATGCAATACTCAGTTAATAAATCTTACCAAAATCAGTGGATTTACCGGGCTTTCCATTTCCTCACATTTGTCTACAGTATTCAGCAGATGGAAAGGAGGGAAATATTTCCGGTGTCAGAATTGTGCATATTAGTTTCTTCGCTTGGTTTAAATACTATGTGATGTTGAACACTATAAGAACAATCTAATAATTTTCACTATACTGCATTTGAGTCCTTTGTTCTAAGTGATTTCTTCGAAGATATTTTTAATATGACATCTTTATTAGCTGATTGATGGAACTGGAATTTATTGGTCATTATCAGCATTACAATCAAACGTTACAAACCTGCCGAGTGAAATAGCCTTCTGAGATATATAAGTAACTGTTTGAGAGCAAGATGGTGCATAAGTGCATACTATTTTTGTAGGCTTATAATCGGCGTCGATACTTTCTACGATAACAGACAATGGATTATATGCTACCTACTTATAAAGCTACAATATAGCTAGATTGTAATCGACGAAATTGCAACATGATTAGAAGCCCCTTTTTGGCTTTCATAGCATACTCTTAACAATGTCCCAGGAAAGACATGAAACAAAGGACTGAGTCTATTATCCATTACTATGATCTGCCCTACTATATGATTGTTTAGCATGTTGATTGAAGGCGGAACTTCAAATCACCTACCACATTCGCTTTAGCTAAGTTTTATACTTTTTTTGAATAAAGAAACAACGAACACATTTGTAGGATAATATGAGCTGGTTTTATTTATTATTTATTATTTTTTTAATTTAATTTAGTAGATTTGGAACCTTAACAGTGAGTTAAACTCAGTGAGTGAAAATCAAAACCAAGACTGAGTGGAATGCTATGTAAGTAACAGAACAAAACACAAAAGCACACTGACAAAACAACTATACTTTTGATAGGATAATTACGTGTGCAGTAAAGGTCAAATGTGAAGTCATAAATAAACTATAAACTTCGAGAGCCTGTGAATCCGCCTTCTCCATCGTATCATGTTGGTCAAATAGGGAATAGCTTGAGAGGCGGCCACAACAATACATGGCAAACTCGGCGTGTAGGCCCTACTCAGCTGAAGTTTACATGTTAACCGAAACCTACAACTGGCAACTCGGTTATCCTGTAGAATTTTCATTGATCCTATCTTTCCACTGTTTCATGTGTCCAGATACAGGATGCTGCAAATAAAATCACTATATGGTAATGCTGTCACATATTCATTGTATCTATTTCAGTAACTTATAGATTAGATGAAATTATGTTTAAATGTCCCGATCTGTCGGGTTGAATAACAATCCACACGATTGATATTGCATAGTAATCGTCCTTACGTAAATCTTGCGTTCATAAGCGTTCTACTGAAAAAAACCTACTATTTAACGCGGAGTATTGTGCTAATATCCCAGATGATTTCACATTAAAAATTAACTTGATATTATAATAAAAGGTATCATACTGTTGAGAGTGAAGGTAAAAGATTCACTCTTCTATACTGAAAAATACCACCTATTCAACAATCTTATCGTCAGTTCTGGATCGTGAACTGAAAATAGAGCAAGGTTTTTGCCTTCTTAATTCACCATTGAATACTCTGAAATAATGTTAGCGAACAGTGGATATCACCGTGTTAACCAAAGGCTTATGTCTTCACATAAATCAATATGAATAAACCTTTATGATAAATATTGATTTAAACCTTTTGACTGCTTATAAATTAGAAATCCTTTTTGTTTTAGTACGGCATTTTGAACAGATAGACTCCTGCGCACTGCTCTACTACAGGTTACAAAACTTTCATTAACTGTAATATAAAAAAACAGGTGGTCATGTGGCGAGTGCTACTGATAAGATTCATCAGTAGTATGTAAAGGGTGCGTCGGCTGCACGGCGGTGGAATGGTCGCCAACCACTCATGTGGTCCGCGGTTCGATCTCCGGCCGACGCACTTGATACGATTGATGGTTGGAAAGACAGATCAGTGGGAAATCTAAATTTCAAACATATTAGTTGTTAACACGGATACCGCTACTATGATCGAAATATAGCACAAGTTTTTCTTGAAACCACAGATTAAATTATTGCGCGTAGATTTCAACTGTATGACATAAGTCGAGATTCTCACTTCCTATATCGGCAAAATTTACCAGTATATCTTGCCTGCTATTTATTTTATTATAGGCAGCCGCTATGCTATTACAGAAACTATTTTAAATTTCCTGTTGATTATTTTCAAATGAAAGGAATGTTTGTCGATTCCTACAACAGATACTTCGAAGATGCCTTGATGTTATGTGGATAACCAGGGGAAGCCAAACCGTGCGTCACGTTCAATTTGACACTCCTAACTGGATTAACTCCCGTCTGAGTGAGTGATGGTATTTACAGCGAAAACCGATCCCGACAATCCTAGTTTCGAAACTTAAAGCGTCCTTTAGCAGCCTACTGAGCCACAAGAGCCATCTCGGTTAACTAAGAATTAACAACCACTACCTTTTAATTTGAATTAGATTTTTACACAATATCTAAATGAGAATAACCGCTCCACCCCTTGACGCAATTTGCTTTAAGAAGTATACACAACATAACTGAACAAGAAACAAACGCAAGTACGTCATCGTAAACTACGTTCGGTTGTAAATTTAATTTATCGTACTGATAACTTCTGCGCTAATTAACTTCTACACAGAAATGTCAAGTCATAACACCTAAGAGCTCATAGATGATGAGTGAAGGCATCGTTTTTATAAAATGATATCTTCGGGTAGTTTTCTAGCCAATAAAACATCCACAAATTCTTAACACCATATTAAAACTGATGTCAGAGATCTTGTTCACACAGTCAACACAAATAACTTGGATTCCCTGGTAAAGAGGACTCACTTGGTGAGCTGCTGGATGTCGTAGGTGTCACTCTTCAGTATAAGTAAAATTGTTCCGAGACTGTGAATCGTTAAATGATGACTTGCTAACATTTTACAATTTTCCAAACGATTTCGAAATGTGTATTGTACAAAGACTCTAAAACCAAGACTATCTGACAAAATACCTCTTATTATTATCAGAGAATTCAGAAAGGTATTCATTTTGCCAAAAATTATGCTTCCATTGTTTCAACATGTCTGTAAAATAATGTTGTACCTTTATGATAGCTAAATGTAGTGTAGAAATTTCTGAATTATAGCCATACTACTCTTTATTAATAAGTAAAACAAGCATATATGTCTTCAATTCAATGTGATAAACCAGATCACTAAACTCAATATATATGTAGAGGTACAGTTGAACTAAGCTCGAAAATTATTAAAATATTAGTATGAATTCAAAAATTTATTTCTATACAATTTGTTATATAATAGTTTCATATAAGGAACAATCGGTAGAATGTGAATGAATGTCATCAACGCCAACGACGAGGAGGAGGTTGAACACGTGACCGTGTCTCAGTACGACGTTTCGCCTTTTGATGTTCTCGAACTTTACTAAGATATGCTTCAGGAAGTTTACCAAAAGGTCCACCGAGGTCTGGGAATGTTTCTTTGATTTCATCCACAAGAGCATGCTTATCTGTTAACTATTTTGTAGAAAATAGAAATGAATTGTATGAATAAACTTCAAACAAGTAATCTAATATAGGCATACGAATCATGTCCTATAATAACACTGTTCTTCATATAGCCCACTTGTGTAATATTAAATCAGTATACAAATAAATAAGAATAAAAACCACATATTAACAAGGACAGATTGTTATAAACAACTATTTTTCTCAGCAGCAAATCGACATAAATTAATCTCTTCAACCAGACGAAACAGACTAGATGTAACTGTGTTAAATCTTCAGATATTGAGAAAATATGTTAGAATGTATTCGAAATTGAAAATGCTAAACAGTGAAATCATCACATCAGCAGCTTAAGGGGGATTTCGACGACGCCATAAATAACACCGTCTTTTTGCCAAACTTAGTATAAAAAATTTGCACTCAAGGTTGCTTAGTGGTTATCCTCGTCAAGATGCCGGCAATAAAAGCATAACTTACTACACCCATAAGATCGATATTAACCTAACCTACCAATAAATAATACTAATAATAATAGTAGTGGATAAGTTATGAGAGATCAAAGTTGAATATTCGAATGAACATACTTTAAAGAAAAATACTTCATTCGGATGTGGACGTTTAAAGGTGAACAGTTGTAATGGTTTTTCTTTTTTCTTCAATTCACCAGTTGATTCTAAGGCTTTCATTTCAGATTCACTAAGCACAGACATATCACCGTATTTCTCATTATCAAATTTAAACTCTTGAGAAGACGGAATCAAATGTTTAGCTGGCTTAGAAATAAGATAATCTCTGGGAGCTGTTCCATCAGCAAGATAAGGACGCAGTGACTCATTGGAAAGTGTTTTATCCAAAGGATGCAGCATAGCAGATGTTATAAGTGAAACAGCCTCTTCATTTACAGATAGAGAAGTATTAGATCTAAAGTAAACAATTAGAAATAATTATTGTGTTAGAAATAAAACATTTCTTTATTAAAACAAAGAATATTCTTCTCGATAACTTAACTCGTCTAGCTTGACTGTTACACATAAATAATAACTGCTTCAATTCACAGTGTGCAATTCTCAGCATGCAATAGAATACTGCATCTTTAGATTACATAAGGGAGAAGTAATTACAGGAGCCTTATGATGCTTACATCAGTAATGATAATAACCGACAAAAAAAATTATTTATATATTTATTCATTTAAACACAGGAAACTTGGTACAATATGGCACCAAGAAGACGAGCCACACAATAATAATACACAACATATATTAAAAGTAAAAATATGGGTGGAGAACGGGTAAAGAACTTCATCTGGGACGAAAAGTCATATTTAACAAGTTCAAGCAGCATTCGTCAACTATCATCGGGAAGGGAATAAAGAAGGAAATTACAGCACGTTCGCCGTTGATTACGATTCTTGACCATATCCGATGACATTTCAAGCCATCGATTCGAGCTATCTCTCGGACTCCAACCAGGGAGTCGGGACGTACCAACCGATGCTGACCTAACATAAATATCCTGCACCCCATGAAGCCACCTCATCGGCTGACCACCTCTCCGCCTTTTCCATTCCGTCCCAGGGCTAGCGAACAGAGACCTGTACGGAAGCCTCTGGGATGACGTTCACAGCACATGCCCAAGCCGAAGATAAGAAAAGTTGCAACAACACATCACTGATTTTTTTAATGATAATTGCCATTTATTTACAGTTGCAAAGTAGGTTGGTAACTTCATACCTATTAATCTCCTGCTTAAACAACATGTACACCAAAATAAGTTATCCTTCAGTTGTTACATTTAGCCATACAAGCATTTACGCTTCTCAGTCCCACCTGAAGAGATGAAAGGTGAAAGCTGTATATAAGGAGGGTGCTCAGAGTCCGGTGATATCACTTTCACCAATTCAAATGCCTGTCAAGGACGATACCAAAGAGTTGACTTAGAGGCTGTTCAATTACGCCCCCGACAAACAGAATTCTTGTTAAAATAACAGTCTTTTTTAAGCAACCCAAGAAAGAATACGGGACAAAAATAATGAATAGGAAAAGTACAAGAGCTAAAAAATTGTGAATGCCAACGGTGAGTTGTACTGAAGTGGTTTAACTTCTTTATGAAGAGAATATTAGATGAGATATTTTTCTGGGAAATAACTAAGGTGTGGGACGAGATAATTAACACTGGACTTAGTTTTTACTTTGGTACCGACTATATTACAGGAATCCCGGGAACAAACCGGTTTATGCAACTCTTCTTTACGTCTGAGTAGGACTAGGCTTGAAACTATTTGACAAGAACCACTAACTGATTTTTGAACAGTCTGCTTAACAAAATCAATTGCATCAGAACGAGGTGACACACATGTGAGAAGAAGGAAAAAAGAAATGGAAAGAGCGCGGAATCAGAATCTAATGATTGCGAAAATTTCGTTTACAGTATATTGCCTTCTTTCAAAAAAATAATAAATAAGAATGTAAACATTTGGTCACCTAGCGCTCGCTTTGTGTCACACCAAGCTTATTTAAATGGGGTATAAGTAGATAGTCAATAGCGGATTTTATTTATTTTATTTTTATTTTTATTACAGCTTGATGCCACACCGTATTTTCAGTACAAGTATGGAATTTTCAGCATGGATATCGGTAGCCCAAATTTACAGGCCGACCATAGATATCGGGTGTGCGTCGGAAGGGGATTGAACCCAGCCAATAGCGGATGTATAGTCTAGGACGACACATCAACATGCATAGCCCATTTATCTAGACTGACAACAGTACTATGACGCAAGACAGTGCAGCATGCATAGCAATTTGTTTCGGAGGTGTACGATTACACGAGAAACATTTCTACACCGTTTTTAAGAAAGATAAGGTGATGGTAATAGGTATGAAATAAACATATGATCTAACATATGACTTAGGTACAGGTATAGTCTTAACAACTTTCCAAGTTGAAAGTGCAACATTTCTGCAAAAATATCAGTTAGACGATGACATAAAATATCCACACACATTCTGAAGACGGTACCTTGCACATCGTCTGAATCTAAACTTTGAGATGAATTCAAGGAGTAGAGAGTTTTTAAAAAACTATTTGTGTTATAACAATGAAAGCGATAATTATTTCGATTTGTGATACTAGAAAGCATAACTTCCGTTGAAAGACAGTTGAAAGACCCAAGGACACTGACATCAAAAGAACAAGGAGCATTACTAATCTGCTTTCCGCCAACAGTTTGTCTAAATAATTTCCTTATATTTGAAAATTCTCCATGTGAAATAAAATTCTGGTCAAATGTTAACTTGTTCTGTGCATTTCAGACCTGATTAAAATGTCCATTCTTTCTTTTTCATTCAACTTACATAACGTTTCTTTCTCTCTGTAAAAGTTTCTGAGGTGAAAAGAAGAAAAACAGTCAAATCCTATGAAGAGGGTTCCCCTTGGGCAACAAATGTCACGATAGAAATTGAGAAAAGATGTTATATGCATGATAATATCATCTGGCACATCTTCAGTAGACGATATCCCCCACTTTGTTTCTTATAACATGTTTCCCAAAAACTGCACATTGAACCTTCTTGGAGAGGTACAAGAGACGCTGAGGAGGTCCAGGTAACTAAAAGAGAGGAGTCCCTTTAGATATTGCCCAGTAATTATTGATGGTGGTCGGATATCTTCATCACTTGTGTTTCTCTGTCCACTTGAAGTCCTCTCTTCGCTACCTCTTTTACCGACCTATTGATCTTTGCTTTTAAATCTTCACATTTGTGCGACATTAGACATAAGGTCATCAGTGAAATCCATATCAGCTAAGTTGTTATTGTCGATTCAGCGTATGTCCATTTTCTTACTCCTTACAGTCTGTCGCATGATTCAGGACATCCCTGAAGATCTACGATAGAGTTTACGTTAAAATGTAAAACGTTAAAATAGTCTTCCGAAAACGTTGAGCAGCAATCTTCGTATGTCTGGCATGCGATTCGCCCCTGTAAAATGTAAGATGATGATGCAGGACTGGACTACACCGACTCCTAGGTTAGAAATAGGAAGTGAAGTGGTAGAGCACGTTGACTGATTTACTTACTTGGGAAGTACCATCAGCCAGTGCCAACGGGTTGATCTCTGACGAAATATCAGCACGAATAAAGAGGGCTAGTTTCGCATATGCCAGTTTACACCGTCTCTGGCGTAGATGTGATATCCGGCTATCGACCAAAAGGCGCGTGTACTGCTCAGTAGTCCGCTCCGTCTTCCTTTATAGCTGTGAGACCTGGCCATTGATAGCGGAAGACATGAAAAGACTAGCTGTCTCTGATCATAGATGTCTGCGTTCTATCTCCGGCGTGAAGTGGTATAATAAGGTGAGCAATATTGAGGTTAGGCTTCGGTCAAATGCTAGGTAAGGAGGGGAAATCAATCGACGAGGCTGTGAAGCTACATCGACTGAGATGGTTAGGACATGTGTTACGCATGCCTAGCTATCGCCTTCCTTGACCGACCAGCAATGTTGGCTGACATAGGGTCAGGCTGGAAAAGAGCTAGCGGCGATCAAACCGAAAAATAGCACCAGTCAATGAAATCCACAACAGTTAGTTTAAGCCATGTTGGGAGGTGTAGACTTCCTGACTGGTTGGGGTCCTCGGGATGGTAAAAACCAATGGCTGGAGACAATCGGTGATATGGCTCAAAATCGTTCTCAATGGCTGGCGCAGGTGTATCCACTCATTGTGACTTATAATTTCCAATGAAACTGTTTTGTTCTTCGTTACTACTAAACCTTTGTCTCACACCTCTGTTTACTGTCTATATTATGCATTTCTCCTACTTTCTTCTCTTGCTTTGTGTGCTACATGGAGTGTGGCGAATTGAACTGCCGCACATATGTGCAAAGTTCTATGTCAAAAACAGACAGAGAGACGTTAAAATATTCAGAAATTACAACTGAGAATTAATCACATTCATAATTTTTGACCTTTTCCTCCTATATTAACACAGGAAACAACCGTGGAAATGACCAAATATCACCTATCTACATCATTTCTCTGATTGGATGACATCTGTCCTGTAAGGGTCTTCTATATATAATTATTTCCCGCGAAATGAATTCCAAAAGCACTTGAATTTAAACACAACCACTCTCAAAACAAACTGTTGATGATTCGTTACTACTAAAATCCTCTGTGTAATTTATATGTAGGAACTTATTAATTATGTAGTATGGAGAGCCCGAAGTCATCATCAATAAGAATCTCTTTTAAATCTGCTCCACCATGTCCTTACTATTAATTAGTATGATGCCGGTACCCCGAATGTGCCAATGATAATGTTGTACTAAGCTAAATAATATAATAAATTACGGTCCTTCAACAAAACTGCGAATCACATTACACATGAGTGCAATATTGTGATGTAACACAACAAGACTACTATTATAACTACTCCCTTCGGTTTTAAGTGGACACATACTGCTTCAATGGCACATCTCCGATTTTTCCTGTTCTCTGAAGTCCTCTTCACGTGGCCCCAAGATTACCTATAGGCTTTCATCTCCCGTTCACACGATCTCCCCCATGCTAACCTCGGATCCACATCAAACTCGTCGTTTCCCACTCAGGATCTACTTGAGGATCTGGAGCGCGATGTCATCCGATGGTATCCTTAGTATGCGTCTGATATATCTTCATGTTCTTCAGCATATTTGTTGAATAATAGGTTCTCGATCTGTTCGTTCTCAGGATTTCTTGTTGTCAATTTGTTCTGACCATCTGATGTTCAATATGAAGCGAAGGCAGCTGTTGATAAAAAATCTGTAGCAGCCTGTCGTGTCACACCGTTTCTGAACCATATAGGAGAAATGATGGGACTTTGGTGTCGAAAATCCCAATCTTGATCCTTATGATGAGTGCAGATTTCCAAACTGATTTCAGAGTGTAGTTGATGCCACCTATATAAGTGAAGGAACTAAGCTCTTTCAAATGTCTTCCATCGATAGTGATTGGTGCAATTAATTGTTGCTTGGTTACCTTCATCACTTCCGTCTTCTCGATGTTCACCTGAAGTCCTGTATTCTTTTCACAACTTGTTTTTCGACTGTAAATCTTCAAGTATGTGTGACACTAGACATAAATAGTCCGCTAAGTCTAAATGTTCTACAATCTTCTTATAAGTCTAACGTATTTGTGTCTCCTCACTCCCCACAGTCTAACGCATAATCCAGTCCACCACAATTAAGAATATTATCAGTGATAATAGGCAGCCTTGTCTTACTCCTTTATTCACTTCGAACGTCTCGCTGAATTTTCCGTTGTGGATCATATGACACGTGACATTGTCATATAGCTGTTGAATGAGGTTGATATAGATTTGGCTACTGCACGCTGTAGTGCTGAACTTCGCGGGCAACGCTGTAGAAGGCCTTTTCGACGTCGATGAGGTTTAGGAAGAGATCTGACCACTATTCTATGCTTTGTTAGATGATGATGCGCACAGCTGCTATTTCATCTGCCTACGATTGGATTTTCGTGAATCCAGGTTGTTCCAGGTGGAGTTCTGCATCCAGTACATCTTTTAGTCTCTTTAAGATGATAAAGCTTAATATATTGCTTGGCGTGGACAAGAGCATTAATCCGCGCCAGTTCTTGCAGAGGCCTAAGTAACCCTTCTTTGATAGTTTGGGGATTTAGCCTTTCCTTCAATCAGTACGCACCTTTCCTTTCTTCTAAACGTTTTGCAATAGTGATGTGATCACATCTGCTGCAGTCTCTGGATACGTTTTCATTGCTTCGAGGGAATTCCGCCTGGTCCTGCTCCCTTCCCAGTTGGCTTTCAGTAGATTGATTCCATTCAAGATTTCAGCTTTTGTTGGAGGAGTGGTGTTCAATGGCAGTGGTGTTCGCTGTTGGTGGTGTTCCTGGACGAGTTGCAGGTGATAGTCGATTCAAGGGTCCTTTGAAGTGATAAGCTCACAGTTTTCTTTACTTCCCCTCTTCGGTAATTAGGTTCCTTTCACTATTTCGCATTTGTTTCATCTTTATTGATCCCTTCACGGATATAGACCCGATCAACTGATATAATGTCCTGAGGTATTTTTTAGCTGCAGTAGCTGGTGTGTCGTCGAATTGTCTTTCCTAGCGCTCTTCTTCATTTATTTATTCAGCACGATGTTCATTGAATTCAGCTTCTCCTTCTGTTATCTATCTTTGCATCAATTCATCTTTTGTTTCAACATATTCTATTCCTCTGTTAGCAACCGGGTGTCCATAGAAAATTATTTCTTCTCTTACCTCTGTTTTCTTCCTAGAACAGCTATGCACGTTTTCTTAATTGCAATATGAATATCTGGCTGACTCATACACAAGAAGCATGAAAAAATAATGACGATACTCAAGCTTACCCTGAATCCGACTGTTCTTTGAACAACTCTACACGTGGGGAATACCAGGCTAAATTATATGGTAACATTGAATCTTCTGCTTTCCATAGTGATGTTATCGAATTCAACTGGAAACGCAACAATTGAATATGCGTTTCGTCCATAAGAATTATTTGAGCACACAGTGGGTAAGTTAATTCATTGTACAATGTGAAACCTAGGAAAATTAATAAACTTGAAAATACAATCACAAAAGGATTAAAATATTAAACAGAGTAATTATGCGAGTCGGTAAATCATCAACATCCACGACTAACTACAGCAAAAATAGGTACGTCAGGTTTTCGGTAAATCTTGACACTGCTGGACTTAATTAAGTGCTCTGTGATGATAGTAACATACGACGTCAAAATCACAAAGAAAATACCACTAGCCAGAATGAGTTTCCACAAGTCAAAAAATGACAATGCTAGATAAAAGCCTGAGAGATTTAAGTTTGTATGCGTGGTGTCTTAACAACAGAATGACACGACTATACAAGCTACTGTCCGCTTGACAACTAGTCTAAACTGAATTCGCTAATGACCAAAACCACCAGCGTTCCTATCAGTCTACAAAATAAAAATGTCTGAAAGAAAAAATACTTTTCACGCTTACCTTGATTGTACGCTTGCGCTGAAGTCCATGCGAATGCTGTTAAAATGCCTTCAGCGACCCCATGACGTTGTAAAATATTTTTCTTGACATCTTCTGGAAGAGTGGTACGACTGATTTCATTTCGTACAATTTCTGCACGGTTTAGATCAATCACTCCAAGTAAACCGAACTCACACGGATCACCTTCCCAAAATGGTGTACGAGACCAATAGCCTACACATTTGACACAATACATAATTACTAGTAACAAGCCATATTATCAATAATACACAGTATCAAAGAACTATAAGTAATAATCCTTTATAAGAATTCCTTGCACGAGTAACAACACAGTCATTTAGATATGATGGAGAAGTCACAGTCACTTGCTGTTAATCATATCATGCACATAACTCTGTCCCACGGAAAACCATTTGCAGTAAACTTCCTCAGTGACACAGTAAATAAAATATATCTCCAACCTGCCAAAGGAAACCTCCATTTTCACATACCCAGTGTAATATAACCATAAACGCTTGGTTTAAACCTTCGTAGACATTATCACCAAACACTGACGACTAGGTGCATATGAAATCTCTGACACATATGCAACTACATTTCAGATTAGACAGCTAAACAAAAAAGACAGTGTCAACAAGACAATATTAATGAACCTATGTTATCTAATACTAGACAGTAAACTCTACTTATACTACTAAGATTGGTAGTTTTAGATACGACAAGAAATAAATTTAACACTCAATGCTATAATCTGAACGGTTGATCCTGCAAACAACAGCACCAGAAGGGTACTAGGATAACCACCTAATTGAACAGCACATAAACCATGCATCAGAAGCACTTTTAGTTGCAAATAATGTATTAAATAGCGTCTAGGAAAGGTAGTAGACACCTACTGAATTTTGTTTAGAAAGTAAAAGTCAATGAAACGGAGTATCTGATTCACACATCATTCAAAGTAGAGAAAACCTCGCTTTAGTTAGTTCAGATACGCTTGTAAATCCCTATATACAATCAGTAACCCGAGTAAATAAACACAAAGTAAAGCGACTGGAGTTCCACAAAACATTTCAAGAAGTATTCGCCTTAGAACCCAAAACTATGCTATATTTTAGACAGCCAGTAAATAAACTTAACTTATCCTTAAGAGTAGCTACTTTCTTCTTGAACAAATCAAGATTATTCAAGATGAGGATTCGAATACTAGTTTGTGGTAGATGCATTTCCATAATTGTGTACATCATTCCCTATAAGCACGATGTGTTTATTGATATAAGTATGAAACTTGGGCACTGTGGTAGAGTATAACTCCATTATGGATAAGATTTTATTTTGATAAATCACACAGTGTCATACAGTAATATTAAAGGATGATGTTTCGAGCACAAACTATTGCTCATAATCATATCAAGTTACTCACGATGTGTTTACTCAGGGAATTTTATCCACTGTCTTCAAGTGTACAACGACCAAGTCAAATACTTAGGTTATATAATCAAAATTCGATCAATTTCCAGGAAGAAGTCATTCTACACCTAAGTTACTTATACATTTGGAAATTTTTACGGTAAATGGTCTTGTTAAACAACATATATTAACAAGGTAGCCTTTCAGTTTTATAATAAAATTTTTTTTTAATTCATTTCACAAATTTACACAGTAAACTGCAAGAGACAAAAAACAGTAACTGAGATTTAATCACCTGCGATAGACCGAGCAAATTCGGAAAAATCGATTGTTCGAGAAAAAGGCAAACAATTGAAATTGTAACACTCAACAAGGCTTAAATCGAACGCTTCAGGACGATAAGTGCAGAGGATAGGTTCATCAGGAAAGCATATGGGATCATCCAAACTGAAATGCTATTTTCAAAAGGAAGAAAAGATAAAAATAGAGTCTTACAACAAAAATTTTTAAACTGTTTCACTCTATGTTTTATTTTTAAAAATGTCAAGTTATATTACTGACAGAATGGAACTGAAAAACATGATATGCACTTATCCAAATTCAATCAAACTAAATATCTGAGACTTGAAGAAAATAAATCAGATGGAGAAGGTTCAAAATAAAAATTCAATTGGAAGTCAGTGCTACTATACGAATCAGAGACTTGGCACCTCGTCATAAAGGGCACTTCAAACAAACTACAGACTTTCATCAACAGCTGTCTTCGCTCAATACTCAAGATCAGATGGCCGGCTAGAAAATATCAGCAACAGGCATCTCTGGAAGCGAACCGATTGCAGGAAGAAATGGAGGTGGATTGGCCATACTCTGAGAAAACAACCATCAAGTGACATCACACGCCAGGCTCCCTCTCAAGTGGAACCCAAATGGGAAGCGGCGAGTTCGTCGGCAGTGTGGGGTGACATGGAAGAGGTCGTGTGAAGAGGAGATGAAAGCATGTGGGCAGACGTGGAGCCAGGTGAAAACATTGGCAGAGAACCGAACGCAATGGAGATGTGCGGCTGAAGCCCTATGTTTCCCTAGGAATTAAAGGGAACAATAATAATAATATGAACACTTGAAGCTAGGGAAGCACAACTCCTCAAAAACAAATGACAATCTAACAGCCAAATACAAACCATGTAAATGGAATCCCCACCGAAATAAATACACCTGACGAAAAAAACAAGTGTAGCAGTACTTGCAGTGAAAACAGACGACGTAGAAGAGTTACTAAACTCATTAAACAAGGAAACTACAGTAAAGTTTACAGCAAAGTGAACATTATCCAACTACGGTTGGAAAGGTTATCCACTTCTAATTCTCAGCAATCCATCAAGTCACAAGCGCATGAGTGTATACACCGATTTGTGTACTAAGCTAAAACACCACAACAGTCACTGATAGAGAGATGGTATGATGTCGAACGTGAAGATTATCATTTTAAACAACACCTTTCTTTATATCTTAAATTTTTGATAGCTTCAGTTGTCAGCAATAGTTGTAGAGTTAAGACACGAAACAAGTGTATAGGAAGCGCAGATGGAGTTTGAGTTAGATAAAAAGATAAGCTATTAAATGTAGGCGGAGCATTGGTATTTCTTATAAACCCATCACGTGGAATTTGGCTTCTTTTTCAATAACTGACAAGAAAGTGCATAATTTTTGCATGACCAGTCAGCCCAGTATACAACTGCTTCAGGCACATCACACCCGACCTGCCTATAAGTTTCACGCATAAAACACTATACTACCGGTTATGGACTTCCATAGCATAAATGAGGATGTGCAATCCTAGGGATAGGGCTGGTATTTTCCAGCACCTCCCCAGAGCAAGAAGGCAGCATAGCTGGCCCGCTGATTGGATAAAGAGAATATCTTATTACCGCATCTTTTTCTCAGTAGAACGGCTTGGCTCTCAGACACACACCATGATGCAATCAATTTACATTATGACAACAAGTGCTTTTAACTTTACGCATATTCAACATACCAGACAGCATAGCTCGTTAAGGCATCACGATATACAAGTCCTATTATAGCATCAGTGTATGAGTTATTAGATGAAAAGTGCAATTTTATGTACATTTAATCTTACTGGCTAAGGTATAGTGTAAAAATATGCATGAAAGATTTACAGTCTTTAAATCAAAACATATTCACCGTTTGCCTATGCCCAAGCTAAGTGATGAATACAACTTAACTTAACTGTCTGTCTGTCTGTTTTCGACATAGAACTTTGCACCGATGTGCAGTAGTTCAAGTCGCCACACTCCATGTAGCACACAAAGCAAGAGAAAACAGTAGAAGAAATGCATAACAGAGACAGTACAAAGGGATATGAGACAAAAGGAATAGTAATAACGAAGAACAATACAGTTTCGTTGGAAATTATAAGTCACAAGGAGTGGATACACATGCGCCAGCCATTGAGAACGATTTTGAGCCATATCACCGATTGTCTCCAGCCATTGGTTTTTACTGTCCCGAGGACCCCAACCAGTCAGGAATTCTACACCTCCCAACATGGCTTAAACTAACTGTTGTGGATTTCATTGACTGGTGCCATGTTTCGATTTGACCACCTCTAGCTCTTTTCTAGCCTGACCCTATGTCAGCTAACGTTGCCCGTCGGTCAAGGAAGGCGATGGCTAGGCATACGCAACACATGTCCTAACCACCTCAGTCGATGTAGCTTCACAGCCTCATCGATTAATCCCCCCTCCTTACCTAGCATTTGACCGAAGCCTAACCTTAATATTGCTCACCTTATTGTACCACTTCACGCGGGAGATAGAATGCAGGCACCTATGATCAAATACAGCTAATCTTTTCATGTCTTCCACTCTTAATGGCCAGGTTTCACAGTCATAAAGGAGGACGGAGCGGACTGCTGAGCAGTACACACGCCTTTTGGTCGATAGCCGGATATCACGTCTACTCCAGAGACGGTGTAAACTGGCATATGCGAAACTAGCCCTGTCTATCCGTGCTGAGATTTCGTCAGAGATAAACCCGTTGGGGCTGATGGTACTTCCCAAATAAGTGAAGTGGTCAACACGCTCCATCAACCACTTCACTCCCTATTTCTAAACTAGGAGTCAGAGTATTCTAGTCCTGTAACATCAGCTTACGAATCGCATGCCAGACATTCGTAGATTGCAGCTCAAGGTGTTCACAAGACTCTACATTTTGTCAGCGTCTTCACCTAGAAGCAGGACTATATCATCTGCATATTTTAAGTCAACGAGATTATTCCCTGACGGTAACAAGTCAATCCCTGAGTCTCTGAAGTCAGTTAGGGTTAAGTCCACTAGTGCATCTATGATGAAATTGAATAGAAATGGGGATATTGGGCATCCCTGACAGACACCACTAGTTGTCACCACTTCAGATGACAACTCGCCGTAAGCTCTCACCTGGTTGACTGCATCATTTCGAGTAGAGTAGAGTGCCTTGATCAGTGCAATGTATTTTCTCGGCATTCCGTTTACAGCCAAGCATCGCTATAGTACCTCTATTGACAGACTCTACTGAAGCGATCTAGGAAAAGCTTGCAATAAGGAAACTACGACACGATAAAACACAATATAGTTACTACAAAAGACTAACGGAGCTAAGTGAAAGGAGAGAGAAATAGAGACCCAATACCTAGTACAGACAACACCCAACAAGTATGCACATATACAGACTATGTACAGGGATAATTGTTTTCGTTTATGACTCGATGTCAAAGTCTTTCAGAACCAACATGTCTAACTCGTATAACAGTTACGCAACTGAAACTATCGACAACAAACCGCAGAGATATGCAGAGAATGTAATGCAAAACAAATGATACCTCACTCATTATCTACATTTTGTATACTACCCTTTACATGTTCCCCATATAACTTTAGCATAAACATACACAACACTAAAATTACCCCGGAAATACTTACAGCTTTCAAAGGAAACGCTCCTCTCAATTGCCAGGCTAACTGAGAACGTATACGATAATGTACACAATCTTCACGGTCAATAACAGTTTCATTTACTGCCTCGTAAATGTCTTCATCCACTTTTTCAGCGTTTTCGAATACTTCATGATCAACTAGTCGCTTTAAAAACATTTCAATTGTTGCATGTTCATCAATTTGTGTAGACAATTCAGTGACCAGTGATTCTGTCCCACTTGATAAAAATGACCGGCACACTGTTTCCATAATCACAGATATCTTCTTACGTCGATAGTTTGCACGCGAATTAACTCCATTGTCACTTTGATCATGCATGTTAACAGGTTTTCTGTTCATCGACTGTAATTCCTCCATAAACAAATAATTTAAATAATTCGATAAGTATGAACTGCTATCACTATATTGCTCTGGTATCCATGGTATAAGTCTTGTTCGTGTGACAAACTGAGAAAAACCAAGCATTTCAGGATGTTTTAAAGGGATATCAATAGAATGAAACCACATATTCTCCTCAATATGGGTAAGTTCCTGAAGCTTTTCAAATAACGTAGGTGTTGCCTTTAAGAGTTCACCATGGCGGAACCTGCAAAGAGTTCAAAATACCTCCTTATCGATAGCAGAAAAGAAATCATATAGTCAAATTTGAAATCGATAACCACTTCCTCTCAATTATTGGGGATAACTGTTACTTTCAATATGTTAAAGATATTTTTGTCCTCAAACACAGGCGAAATGTTTCACGTATTTTACGAAAGGTGATTAATATAAATTTCGAAGATTTCACACATTATTAAATTCCATCATAAATCACAGTTTACACGGCTTAGCCTCTACGTAATCAAGCCGAGAAAGAAGAACGACTGGAGCTGAACAAAATCACTCTAAAAACCTGTATTTCTCACATATTTACATTTCTCTTATCGACTTCATTACACCGAATTCCAAGTAACAAGTGAGAAAATAAGTGTTTCGCTACTTATCTGATAGAACTAGATGGTTAAACCGTAACGTACGAATATTTAGTGTAGTCATCATAAACAGTGACCTGAAAAATTGATAAAAACTGAAATCACATGAAATGGAAAAGGCGATAGCAATAGCTAATACCCATCAATTATTTAGAGTAAGGTATGTGACGATACTGATCCGCTTTCTAGAAGACTATCTAATTCCCACTGTGCGGATGACATCGTTTTGTTGTGCAATAACATACAAGCCATAGATATCACAGTAAGTATTTATAAGCATGGTGCGTACTTGGTATCAACAAAATACAAAATGCATTGACTTGTGAAATAAAATGCTTAATTCCAGTCCTGAGATAAATTTGAAGAGAATGAAATAACAAACACATGAGTCTACTCGTGACAATAAGCATCTGTACCAGGGTGATGGCAAGAGTCACATGTCGGTCTAATTATCAATCATTACTAATATGGTTGATGTGATAGACAAACTTTCGGACTAGTTACCAGTAACAAATAATAACTCTGTCAGAAGACTGTGTTTTCCCCGTTCACTGATTTCCAAGTAGTTTTATGAATACTGGTGGAGGTGATGAGTGAGATGTTTCACAGTAAGATAAAATTCAAATCAGCGTACGTTAATGCGTCACTTCTGGTGCTGTCAATAGGGCACATTTTAGTGCCCAAGATAACAAAGCAAAATTTAATGAACAAACACATATCTCTATTATCAGTTTTTCTGTTTAAATAAATAATAAACAGAAAACTACCTTGATTCTTTGACTTTTTTGTCTGTTGACCCCCATTGACCACTGACTTTCAGTGGTTTCTTCGGTAAACCCTTCGCTGGTGCTTCATCATAAAAAGGGAGAGTGTGGAACGGAGGAGGGTTGCGTCTTTTTGATCGGAGTCTATCATGAGGCGGTTGCTTTAAGAGAACGGGAGATGAAGAAATGTATCTAGTAACAGTATAAAGCTTTGGCATTTTGCAAGGAATTCTCATTCTGACGTTGACAAGGAGTATCTGAAACCGAAATGTGTGAAAAATTACCCAAAGTTATTAAAAGCAAATGCAATAACAATACTTAAATTATTCCACAAGAAACATCCGGTTACAGAAAAGTCCACAAAGTACACAGACTAGTACAGCATCGAAACAAGTCGGGTTCAATCACGAATGACACCATAATGCTTCTTCCAAAGTACCACCAGTGCTTAAACTGAACTTGTTGTGACCTTTACGTGGCCCCTATTTTGCCGATTATGTCATGTATCCAAGACAATTGTGATAAATAATGAACACAACGCAAAAGACAAAAATGGAAAGATACTAAACAATTTTGTATTCCCTAGTATCAAAACACACAATGTGTTCCCGCAAGTGTAGTCACACGCCTTATGAAATACACGTAAAAATGAAATTTAAATGAATGGTCACAACTATGATAGACATTCTCCTTGCCTTTTTCATCTTTTACATGAAGCCAGAAGTGTGAACCAAATCGAGATTTAGGCAGTAAATATTAAAATCCCTCTCTCAGTTTCACATCTGGATTAACTTCTATGGATAGACCGACAGACTACTTTGCATAAAAATGTATCAGTTCAGGTTATTATACATCAAAGAGTACAGGAAAAAAGAAAACAGCAAAGTTACAATGGGCAAGCATGAGAGAAAAAAAACTAAATGAGGGTTGTTGAGAATGTTTATTACTATAACAATAAGTGGATGTATTTTAGGTATCAAGGAAAAATATTTCAGAATTGTGTGATTGCGTTTAAGAGTGTTGTCAACCATTAATTATTTGAAATAGTTGAGATACATGAAAAGATGTGGAAATCGCCATATGATCTAAACGGCTCTAAAATTTGACTCAAAGTAGTGATTCACCAGTTACAAACGTAAAACTGCACAAAAGTTCAACAAGCACAAGTTACCACAATTAGGAGAAGCACACATGAGAGTTGGGAAAGGGAATGTAATAAAGATATAATAGACAAAGATATGCAGAAGATCGAACAATCAGATAGAAACTTCATAAGAAGGGTAATAGCAAAGACTGAACACACCGGTTCTATTATAAATTATTATTAACCATGTCAAGAAGACTCTTCAACCACTACTCCTCAATAGAAAGTTTCTACCTCCCTACAACGTTCAGACTAACAGTGGAATATTTTATAGATTCGTCCCATGTTTTTATTTAACCACTTCCATTGATTTAGAAACCTAGTCCTAAATTCACGAACACTGTTGATCCCCGCCACCTCAGTTAACGGAACTGAACAGCCACCAATTAAAAAACCCTCCTTTTATAACACCAAGCCTAAAAACTACTCGGTGTCTTCTCTTTCAAGCGCCAGTGACCTAAAATAAGACACCTGTGGACAAACACGTTAATCCTAACAATCAATAAAAATTCTGAGGACCATTCAGCGTTGAAGACCCTGAGTATACTTTCAGGTGTCTAATTCAAGGCCGCAAAGAACACAGAAGTGTGACATAATACACACACGGTTGTTAAAAAGTCAGATTTTACACCTACCCCAAAGATGATGTAAGTTGGCTAATGCCAAACCAGCCGTTTGTATTCATGCCTACATTCCGTGTACAACGACATTTTTAGGGCTCTTCCATCTATCAAAAAAGTAAAGCGGTCAACACACAACCATTTTATTACTTATCTTCAAACTAGGAGTTGGTGCAGACCAGCTGTTCCGCAGCATCTTCACATTTGACAGTTGTGAACCACATGCTTAACATACTCAAGGATATAAAAACACAGTTTTCATTTCCATCGAAAAGGGACTAGGACTTATGTGGATTTGTAACTATTTAATAGAACTGCCTAGACGATGATGGGCTACAACAGCACAAAGGTTAAGATATTTTATAATTAAGACCTGTGGACCCAAGCTTACAATAATTCTACACTAATTCTAACATATGCGTCGATAATTCCTTTTTATAGTAAATGAATATTTTATCTACCTAAAATAAACCCACTATGTGCCGAAATAACGCTGATCGTTCCTAAAAAAAGGCAGTGGATGCCTTATTAATGCGACAAAATGTTAAGAATAGGATTCGCATCTGAAATAATGCCCTCAGTGCCGAAAAAGCACTGCATGCCTAAATAGTGTTGTTAGTACTGAAAAATAGCACTGAATTTTATTACAGTTCAGTTGAAACGAGGTCACATATGAAGACCGAAAAAATGTTATGAAGCAGATAGATTGTGTTTATTGTCTATTCTAATAGTAATGAAAAAAAGTGGCGTTAGTGAAGCATAACGAGATTTGACAACAGCTCAGTTAAAATGAAGTCAAAATGAAAAACCTAAACAATTTTGAGAGAACATATAGGGCATGTTTAAAGTACTTTCAAAGGTGGTGGTGAAAACTGAAATCCTACAGATTACAAAGGATACTTATCATACGTGCAATGTAACCTGTTTGATTGCACAGCAGTTTTCGAGGGCATATATGGAAACCTTAGGAATGCAAACCAAACAAATGGGTGGGGGGATGACGTTGGCTCACAAATGAAAACATACACTTGATATAAGGAAAATGCTTGCAGTAGTGGTTACAGTTCACTATATGACCACTGTTTATTATGTCATCCCTTTTAATATTTAAAAAAAGATGTAATATAAGCAGCACTTCTTACGTTCAAGGACCATTCGTACAGGATTTATTAATCATGCAGGTGAGTGAGATTTTTATTATTAGGAAAACAACTCAGATGTGTTAGATACGGGAGTGGTAGCAAACATCTTAAATAACCCAATAAGCAATAAGAACGAAAGATATGAAAAAAGAAACATAAAATTCTGCAAATACAGCATTTGCAAGGCAAAAAAATTTCAGCAATGCACTAGATCGTAGTAAAAACCTGAGTAAAGGGATGTAACGAAACGTCCAGTATCAGTGAGGCCAACCAAATTCCCATGTGCTATCCACATAGAGAACAATCCAGATAGTACAGACAATAAATTCCTACGTTTCTTTTGGTAGTTTAATATTTATGGTTTATTTTCCCTTTGATAAGTAAAGGGGAAAATATACACACGTGCATGAACAATAAATCACACTAAATCGAGTTTATTTTGAAAACTTCAACCACACTGTTAACATTTTAACAGCTTACAACAAACATTTATTACATACAGTGGCACGCTCTAAGACTGGATTTTATGCCAGAAGTATCAGCAGTATGATTGACATCTGAGGAAATTCTGCTACGTTTCGGCCGATGTTATCAGCTTCTCATATTAGCTGTGAGTACGCAAATCTTTTACTAAGTATTAATTGTGCACTGCACAACACAATATTAGTCATGAACACACAAAACAAATAATTGCAATTAATGTGACGTACCGCATTCATTCAAATCAACATCCTCCAACGAACAATCTGTTTGTTACCGAAATGAATCTTAAGTCCAATATCACTTCTGCAAAGTTGATTTCACCAAACTTCCTTTATTAGCAATGACATAATATGACTACAGCTTCCAAAGAGTGCTCCAATTTGCTGAAGAACCTTCCCATGGGTGGCAAAATCGAAGCGAATAGATATGGGAGTGGACTCCAGTTTTCTGTGCCTTGTGACAAATCCTTCGTTGGGGATTTACCTGCCTACACGACTCTCTTCACGTGTAATTCTGTTAACAGTAGCCAGGCTATAGTTGTATGTAACTCCCCTATAATACTAGGTTACAAATTTCGTCGTTTTGCACCGGGAAGACCTCCTTATTGTTTTAACTGACTGTTTAAGTCAGAAATATGCAGTCAAGCATCTATGCTATTTGGAATCCAATATCGTTTTCACGAGCTAGTATAAACCAATTTGATTTCTTTTTGCTAGCCTCTTGATTGTGAGGTATAGGTTCCTGATCTTCGGTAAACTTCTGCGTAGCTCGTCCCGCCACTCGACTGTCGTAGCTTTGGTTGACTCCAAAAGGAGTAGTGCAGGGATTAATTATATGTGGTTTGTAGTATGAGATGTGTTAAGACTGTTACTACTGTGAATGGAGTTGATTCTTTCCTCCGGTATCGTCGTCAAAAGAAAAGAGATAATAATAATAGATGTAATTAGTGAAGTTATTCAGACTAACAAGCAGAAGAAGAATAAGAAAACGTAACAACAGTCAGCTGATTAAATTTGAAGAATAATATGAATAATATATATTTACCGGTAATAACGATAATAATAATAGGTGTAGTTAAAGCTGTCAGGAGAGTAAGACGGAAGAGAATGCAAAGAAGTAAAACGACAATTTAAATTGTCTACCCTTGAATGGTGCATGCTATTTTAAGGGGATAGGCCACTTGGATGCAGCCCATGCGTCGCTGCCTGGTTGTCTAGCCTTCGCTCAAAGGCGTTCACAGACGGTGTCATAACTACATCTGCCGGTAAGGAATTTCAGGGACGGCAAACCCGCAGGGAAAAGAATTGGGAGCTCACCCGGGTTATTGCTCTCCGATGAGCTATACTTCTAGGATTTCCACGAGGGAGCCTATACCTACCCAATGGCAGAACACCTTTGTTTGGGTGATTCTGGTCATTTGTTTTTTTTTAGGCAGTAATTAAATCCCCCCTAAGACGACGATGGCTAAGTGTGAATAGGTCTAATTTCTTCAGCCTTTCATCATATGGTTTATTTCGGAGACCAACCACTCCTTTTGTTGCCCGTCGTTGGACTCTTTCCAAAAGGTTGGCGTCTCTTCTGAGCACTGGGGGTGCAATAATATTATGCACTTCAAGGTGTGGTCTGACGTATGTTTTGTACAACCTTAGAAAGAGCTCAGGAGTGAGTGCCCCTAACTGTCTATGTGTAAAGTGTATCACCGCATATGCCCTCGCTATATCCCCCGTGTAATTTACGCTTGTGTCCAGTTTCTCCGTTAGAACTAAACCTAAGTCACGTTCCGACGTTGTGCAAGACAAGCTTTCATTGCACAGGGTGTAACTTGCATTCTGCAGTCTACAAGTGCGTAACTTCACTACTTTTCACTTTTTCAGGTTGAAAGTCATGCCACTGGCCACCGCCCAGTCTTCCAGAAGGTTTAGATCTTCCTGTAGCCTATCTGAGTCCTCAGGGCACTTTATCGCCCTCCATTTCTTCACGTCGTCAGCGTATAGAAGAGTCGGGCAGCTTAGACGGCATGGTAGATCATTGATAAAAATTAAAAACATCAGTGGTCCTAGGATAGAACCCTGAGACGCTCCTGATGACGAGTTGTGCCAAGATGATCGGACTCGGTTGACCTCAGTGCGAAATTGCCTTTCAGCTAGGTAGTCCTTTAACCACGACAAAAGTCCCTTACCTTTACCTGCCTGGCTTATTTTGTGTAGGCGAAGGTCATGGTGAACAGTGTCGAATGCCTTCTCAAAGTCTAGGAAGACCACATGGACTGGAACATTCATATCCCAGCATGATCTCCAATCGTCCCAAGCTGATAGTTAGTAACACAGGATCTGCCTTTCCTGAAACTGTGTTGGGCTTCATGAAGTATATTAGACCCATCGAGATACTCCCTGATGTGATCGTCAGTAATACTTTCCAGTACTTTTGATACCACTGGGAGTAGAGCAACTGGTCTATAACTAGTGGGTTTTTGCCTATCCCCACCCTTGAACATAATTTGAGAAGACCATTGACTAACATCACGCCTGCCGATCCACCAGAACCTAAAGAGGAAGTGACAAGTAGGACATTGGAGGGTCGCTTGTGGAGCATCGAGAAAGCGAAGTAAAAGCCTATAGGCAGTCATGGGGCCTGGATAAAAGGTTCCTGTGTCGAATGGCTACATGTTTCCGTGAATTCGTTTGCCATTAAAATTTACAGATATTTTGACGTCTTGCGTATTTTAACGTGTCAAGGTTAGGTTCTGCCACTGGATTCTACTATAATCTTGTTTTTAGTCTGAACTTCACAGTTGACAGTTAGCGTTCATTGTAAACCTGCAATCATTGAGCAACTTCGCGTATATCAGGCTAATATAATAAACTGTTCTCTGCACAAAATGAAATGCAATTGCAGTCCAGTTAACTCTTTAATCGTTGGGACATTATAAGCCACGGATCCTGTTAGTTACGGTTGTTCAGGATATTCTAGGGACTGATAAGACATAGTAAATAAGATACAGATCACTCTGATTTATTACTCACTTCCAAGAAACTTTCATCGTGAAAGAATTAACTGAAGTCTGTTTTAAATTTTCACTTTGGGGCGCAAGAATAGAAATGAAGTGTATCGACAATTTGGGCGTACATGTTTACATTATGAATATATACAGAAACAATAAGATAATACTAGCATTTTCACAAAAGTAAACCTTTCACAGGGGCGCGTTGTATTCGTAATGTTGTCCGTGGTTCATTTAATAATAAACTGTCCAACTATCTGGTGAACTCCTGTGTTTTCCGCAGTGCAGCATTGGGATTTCGTTGGTTTGGGCTGACAGAGTGTCTTCTTAACCGTGTATAAGCACTCTGAAACACGTTTCTTGATTGTGTTGTGAAGTCGACAGCACACAGAGTGCTGCCCGTATTGTTATGTCGACGTGTCCACATCTTGCTATCTCTCAGAATACCTAAGAGTAACATTTAAGGAAAGTGGGCATACCACAGTTTAAACATAAATCCAAGGAAGCCACAACGACATGCACACAACCAATTCAAACTACTTCTGGAAATTTATGATAGATATCGATCATGTCATTACGGGCGAAAGTGATTTTTGAGACGAAACCTGCACTGCCATGCAGAATACTAACTGGACCTGTCTGCTTCAATCCATGTAGCAGGTCCTGTAAACTACCGATTTATATTCTACTGTCATATTAATTTTGATAAGACTCACGTTTACTTATTCGAGCCCGCGTATTCCTAGTATTATCATATAGGGTAGCTTCGCCGAAACTCTAGTGTGCTAAAGCCAACAAATTAAACTTTCGAAAAAGTTCTAATTTATGATACTTCACGACTGTAATTTATAACACAACTGATCGTGCCTGTAAAAATGGCATGCATTTCTCGTCAACTTAATTATTTGTATGAAATATAAATTATTATTATTATAACTTATGCACCTTTCTGAACTGTATTTTCACTGACCTCAACAAGTCCATATTATATAGAAAACACCAAAATTATTAACGTCTATTATTCTAGAGTAGTGGTCAGCTTTATTGCATATCCTTGCTAACTGTAGGGCAGTAGCACACCATTATGGCTGTGCAATCGAAAATATACTTATGATATTTTTTGATGAAATTTTACATCAAATACTCTTTTCTGACATTATCTGTGTTGACGAACTACTTGCCACTATCGACTGTTGTGGATTGCTACAACACGTCCAGACACCTACCCATGGTTACAACATGTTGGGCCTTGTGTTTTGTCACGAAACAATCCCAGTCTCCGCCTACGTTGGTAATAGATTTTCCAGTAGTGACCATAGAATGATACTGTGCTCTCTGCCCTTCTCACCACCAGTTACAGGAAACAGACAAGATTCAGGGAGCATGATATGCCATATTTACAAGTATACAGACTGGGGGATTAGTTCAGGAACTCATTCGACTCTGTCAATGGAATGACTATTTTACCACTGACCCCCTGGAGGCTGTAGTGTCCCTATTTTACAGGAATGTTACCCTTTGCCTAGGTACTTCTGCTCCCAAGAAAGTAGTGAAATGAAGTAGAACCAAGCTGAATGCATTCCAAGGGCATACTGATGAAACAGTACTATTCCACTAAGGATATACTACCACTGCACTCAGCCCACCAGTCACTTGAATCTGTCAAACGCCTACGCTCTCAAAAAGATCTCGACGAAGTGTTAAGGGCACTTTAAAGTAGCTCCAAGGTTTATAACCTAACAACACTTCTTAGAAAACGAATGCAGTCGACGAGGGACATCCCCTACTTACCTCATGACAAAGTAATCTACAATGAGCCTGCCACCATCTGTGAACTATTCAGTGAGTGGTTTGCTAACTTTAGTTTAGAAACGCGCATCCCTGGTGAAACCGCACCCCCTACTAGCTCCTCCCCCAGAAGCATAATGTTCATCAGTCAATTAGTAGGAAAAGCAATTAAGAACCTTAGATATTCTACTAGCAATAATTTTCAAGAACAGTGGGTGTGATATTCCCCTGTTACTTCTTAAATTCTTCTCAATATCTGTGAACACTGGCACTTACCCTAATGAATGGAAAACTAGCTTTATAATTCCACACTACAAATCCGGTGGTAAGGCAAACGTTCACAATTACAGACGTATAAATTTAACCCCAGTTGTCTCGCGAATCATGGAGAAAGTTGTCAAAGATCAATTACCGAACTATCTACTTAAGGAA